AGGACCCTCCAGTACCTGAGCTGGCACCTGGCCCTTGGTACCTGCTGGCTGCAAGGGTGGATTTATGCCATCGAGGCCACTGCTGACTCCACAGCCCATAGCTTCCCTTAGCATGGCCAGCCTGTTGCAGGCTAAGGTCTGAGTTACACACTCTTCCTGGGTGTTTTGGCAAGAAGATGCAAACAGTGCTTGCCAAAAGCCTGCCAGCCGTTTGTAAGAGGTAGCGGCACTACAAAGCTCGGGGTGGTAGGCCGTGCCCTTTCACCTAATGTAGACAAGGCCTCAACTTAGCTCCTTAATCTCCTAACATACAAGGCGAGTTCAAAAAAGGGGATGGACACAATAGCACACCACCAGCTCGCTTTCCAATCTGTGACTCTCTTCATCTGATTCCCCACTGTCTTGCACAATGCGTTGGCATTCACACCCATGCAAAATGCATGGCAAAAGATGCTCTGATGTGGTACCATGAACAGGGATGCTGTTTCCTTTGCACAGATGTAAATTATGACCTAAATCAGGGCTACTCAACTTTGGAAGCCCCGGAGGCCACAATGATACTCACAGTACATATGAGGGCCACAATTAAGTGGTTGCATATACATGAAAATATTTATGCAAAAAGCTGCTTTCACACTGACAGGCATGTATACAAAGATTAATGCAAGACAACACAACATGCAGACCCTATTTAAGTCAGTTCTGCTGATATTAATAAGATGCAATATTTACTCGATTTCCACCCATATGACAGCACTTTGAATGAGCAATGACAGTCCAGAAATTTAACTACTAAAACACATATCAACAGAAGACCTTTATATTGACTCACCATTGTGGAGCGTGTTCCCAGTGGAGGCCATGTTCAAAGGATCCCATCTGCAGGCTGCGTGTTGAGCAAATTAATTACATTTTGCAATTTCCTTTAAAAAAAATAGAGTGCAGCGGAGTGGTGCTCACCCCCAAGGCACTGTTAACCATCCCGATTTTAACAGATGTTTAGATCAATAGGAAAGCAATCCTCGGGAAGTTGAAAGGTCACATGTGGATTTTAGCAAGTACGAAAACGAATGAACATACTTTTGAACAATATAATTTTGCCCGTGCTCAGAGAAGTTGGTAGTGGAGCGGGGACTTGAACTCCTGAGTCCTAGCCCACCACACTAACCTTTGGACCATGCTTCCTCTGAGTCATGGTAGCAGGACAAAGACTGAATGGACATGGAGGCTGAACTAACCTGTTACCCATGGAGCTGTTATGTCCAGAACAAGGTGAGGCATGGTAACAGAGTAAACCTGCTGCTATCATGAGTAGCAGTTACTTGGAAACTGATCTATACAAATCTCTTATCAATAGGTCCAAAGTAACCTATCATATACCCTTGAGTACTGCTCCTCAAAAGGAGTACTAGAGTACAGGCTGCTTACAGATTCCTTTTGCTGTGTGTGTTTAAACTGTATGGTGACGCCAAGGCCATGCTCAGCACTGTAACTAGCATTCTTACAGTCACGACAGGACTGTCAAGAAAAATAACAGACTTCAGATCTGAAAAGTTACGTTACTTCTCAGGGCTACGGTTTAATACTGAAATGCATTACTGAAACTAGGCATGTGATTTACTACCACAGCCATAATTGCTACTGCAATAACCCAATACAGGAGGCATGTGGGCTAAAGACACAGCCACTTGCGCATTATGCTGAGAAATTGTGCCAGGAAATGAATGACCAGGTCAGCTAAAGCACAAAGAGAGAAAGGAGGGGAAATGCATTTTAACCCTTGAGAGCAGCTCACAGGTTCCAGGTGATGTTTTTCAGCGTGGATGCAGAAGCACTCATGAGCTAACTGTGGTTGGTTGCTTGTCCAAATGAGGCTGCAGGATAATTAGATTGTGGGGAGGGCAGTTGCATTCTTGAACAAACATGCATTACATACTCATCTGTGTTAGCTGAATGGTGTTATGCATCTGCTAACCTAAGGGTTCAAAGGGCCCTTAGAGCAGGGAGGACCCTTCACGGAGTTGTGCTATACTGACACCTGCAAATAGGACACCGCACCTGGCAAAATACTACTACACGTCAATCTGCTAAAGCCTGACGTTTGGATGGATGCAAATTGTCTTGGGACTATACATTCCCTCCCATTCTCCGAAGAGCCAGTGTCATCTTTTTCACTTGTGTTACCATCTGTGATGCAGCTGTATGGCTGAACTGCCTGAAGTAATTAGCAGTGGAAACTGCCTAGAAATTTCACTGAGGAAACAAGTGGGAAAAATCTCAAACAAGAGTCAAACAAGTTTGCTCTCCTAACTGGGTTGTATCTGCCCAAGGAGCCACAGTTGAAACAATCCAGTTTGTTTTTCATTAGGAAGAAATACACAGTGCAACCCAGAACTCCCTCCTTCTGTGGCTCTGTTTTGTGGTGGAGGTTTTCCTGTGCAATTGCAGTGCTCCCTAGTGGGTTATTGTCCAGTGAGAAGTAAACCCAAACAATTTTGGCATTGTGTTTGAATTGAAGAGTGAGATTTAACTCACCTTGATCTAGAAAATTCCTTTGCTTCTGAAAAGTAAACCATGTGTAAACAGATCACAATAATCAGTAAAGGCAGATTTGAGTTTTAGGAGCTGAATAAACCCATAGCTCAAAACCCTTAAGGGACAGGCAGTGTACGGCTAGGCTAAGGTGCAGCTAAGGTGTCAGCTATACCTGACACTGAAAAGAAGACACTTTATATAGGGACAAGGATTTCTTTTAATGAAAATCTGAGAACAGAAATTACTCCAGTTTACTTTTAAGGCACTTGGGCCCAGACCTTCACAGGTATTGAGGATTTGGACCTCGATCAAAAATATTTTTTTACTTAAACCATGTCATTACAAGGAAACAATAGAAGTTAATATGTTCCATAGATATAGCCAACATCTACAAAGAAGTCTTAAAAAGTCTTAAATAAAATTAAGAGCCTCATGGCCTATGCCCACAGTATTTAACAAATGTGTCTATCCAAAGAGGAGAAAAAAGGCAACATGGTTAAAACTCAGAGTTGGGAACAAGTGAAGTAAAAATGTGCAGGTTAGACACGTACACATCTGTGCAAAAAACATTTGGTTCACTCCAAGACTGACAACAGAGAAGGAGACTTTGCAGTCAATGCAAAATCTTATTTCCCTTTTTAAACCTTCCTGTTAGCCCTTCAGTTAAAAAAGAGTGTAAAGGTCACTCAAGATGCTATATTAGCTGCAGCGAAAGCTAATGTGATCTGAAAAATACAATTTCATGAGATAACATTGGCCAATAAGATGTTTGGAAGATTCTAAAACCTTTGTTTTTGTTCTTCATTAGTGAAGCCATCGTTCAGTTCGACCAACAGCCAAATCGGTTGCATATCTCTAGTTCTTATGTGGCCACCTTGCATGAGGAACAATCTCAAGAAGAGAAAGGCCTATGGGAGCTTCATACCCTCCCACATTCCAAGGAAACAGCAGTACACTGGAAGGCCAATGCCGCAAGCCAAGTCACAGGGTCTCCTTATGACCCCCCTAATGACTTCAGTGGAGCTTGGCGCTGGGTCTTCACAGAATAGAGCGAAGCCTCGAGAGTGTGCAGTGAGTGACTCTCTTTAGGAGGACTGGTCCCTCATCTTTGAAACGGTTTCATTTACATCTTACGACAGAGACTGCCTGCAAGCTAGGAAGCACATTTTTAATTAGGCACCCAGACAATGGTGAAGTATACAGTATTAAGTGCAAAACTCAGTTCAACCTGGTTTTGGGTCTGTAGCTAGTCCCTAAGTAATGTAATAGGGGATCACAAAAATATTGGTATTTCACCTCCTATTTGGAAAGTTTCATCTTCTTGGCAAAGTCATCTGAGAGCACATATCATTTCTTGCAAGATGCAAAAACAGCAGTTCTGAGCCCTGCCAAACTGAGGGTAGCTCAAAGCAGCAATACATACTTGAAAACACAACAGCTTAACTGACAGAAGTCACTGCAAGGAAGAGGGGCACTGAGGAGTCACAGTTAATTGCAATACTCGCTTTGCATGAAGTGCTCTGATCTTGCTTAATGGGTTACTTTTTAAGGTGATTTTGGTGAAGTTGTTTACATGACTTTAGAGATTCACAAGGTTTCTTCTGGCTCACTGTGGCTCAAATGCCAGTGCATATACACATCTTGCATGCTATCACTACATAAGGGTTACTGCAGTGAATTTGTCTCTTTCGGCACAAGATTTGCACAAGTACATCTATACCCTTTGTAACAGTTAGCTTCCATTAGTACCTTTATATTAAGACACTAGTTACACATTCAGTATGAACAGAAGATACAGCTTTGCCTCAGTTGCTCACCAGAGCAGATGACGAATGAAATGACTAGCTTCAAACCAGCAAACCCTTACCTGCACCCTTAACTTTTACTCACCTGGGCCATCTCAGAAGGACTACTCTGGTGAGCAAAGAGGCCAGTGTGAAAGTGTTTACAATATGGAGGCTTATATGGGAAACTTGAGGTTACTCCAGTACAAAAGTCCATTATTCCCACCACACAGTTTCCTTGCTTTTATGTGAATTGTACACTCTTCATAAAGGCTTTTTTTCTTTCCCAACATCAATTTTCATTACTATGGAGACAGTTTTACAAGTATTTGAACAAGTGAGTCTGTCCACTCTGTAAAAAAGCTGTTCTGAATGTTTTCTGCTTGAAGAGCACTTTTTAATGGTGGTGGAAGACATGTAGGATAGGCATCTCATGGAGATTTAATAGGCTTCTAGCTGCAAACTTTTAAGGGAGAGAGCTTCTGGATCTATGGTGCTGGGGTACCCCAGAACCCCCATGTATCTCAGGGGCTGCCAAGGATATGGGGGTCCATACGCTGCTTGTTTTGCACAGGAATGGCCAATGCACTGGAGAGATCTGGAGGAAGCTCTCAGGATTTTCCATGGAATAGAGTAATGCTGCTTATTGTATTTCATTAAAACTGCAGCCCCTAGTGACAATAAAAATGACAGATGAATTTAATAAAATATGTACAACGGTCACTCTCCTCCGTAAGATATGCAGCGTGGGCACAGTGTGATCTAAGAATGCACACGTCTCGGGAGTAAGATTATACCACAAGCAGTTTAAGATTTGCTTCCATGTTTAGCAACCTGTTATCAGAATCTTTCATGGCTCAAGAGCTCATAGCTACCCTCACTGGAGGCTACCTATTGCTCTAATATAGACAGAGAAAATATGCAATTTTGCCAGCAATTCAAGTTCTGATTAGTTATTCGATCCTGGGCCAAATCCTGAAACTCCCCGAAGTCCATAAAGTTTAGCCAGAGTTAGGTTTCCAGTTGGATTGCAAGTTTCAGCTCCATGACTCCAAATGATCCACAGCAGTGTAGAAATTACCATGGAAATCACTTAACCATTTGGGGTAGCTACTGATACAGAGTGGCAGGGGGCTCCTCGGGAGTGGGGCCAGAGCGCACTGGCTGCCGGCCCCGCCCTGGGGACTACAGAATAGTCAAGTAACTGATAAGAATTCACAAGGTTACTCAACCATTCAGTTAACTGATATTTAACATCCCTAACTGGCAGAACTCTATTAAGAGCAGAGGAGGATTAGGCATGATACCAACAGAATATATTCTAACCTTGTAATATGCAAAAAGAGGCAGGGAAATCTTGTACCAATCAGTCCAGTTACAGATTAGCACTCCCGAATCTCTGGTGTCAGGGTAACATGCAAACTAACCAATCAAAATATAAACTCGGAACCCTTTAAACTGTTATAAATGACTATGAATATTTTTCTACAACTATTTTCTCTTCCCTTTATTTTTTCCCTATCCTAGCCTAATTATTTTCCTTAAGGAGTTTGAAAGTGATGTTCCTTTCTCTTGTTCCTGGTGGAATAGGCAGCAAAGTTCTAATCGCCGACCTTGCAGAGAATTCTTTCAATGGGAGTAGAATGAAAAGATAGTTTAGCATGACTGTAGCACTAGGAAGAGAAGGATACTCCTAAAGCATGGTTGTCACCTACAAACCTTACTAGTTACTGACCAGGAGAATGAGTAGACACAAGCTTTCAAGCAACACAGAGCTCTTAGAATCATAGGGCTGGAAGAGATCTCCGGTCACTGATGCCTCTCCTATGGGGCTCAAAGCGTAACGGTCTCTTCCACCAACAGAAGTTGGTCCAGTAAAAGATGTTACCTCTTTCATGGATAAGGACTAACAGCTACAGCACCACTGCAGACAAGGACCAGGTCTACACTAGACATGGAAGGCTGGGTAAGGTATGTAAAATTCACAGCTGGAGCCAGCTTACCCCAAACCCAAGCTTGGTGCTGTCTTCACAGAGGGAGGCTGACAGGAGCAAACGCTGGAAGGAGCTGCTCTCTGCGGTCAATGTATGGGTCTTAACTAGACCCACTAAATCAAACACCAGAAGAGCGCTCACCAGCACAGTGATGAAGACTCACCAAAAAAAAAAGGAACGTCTTTTCAGGAAGTCCATGCATGGAGTCTATCTCTCCTGCCAGTAAAATTCAGCAAGGCTGGCCCTATGTCCATACGGCCAGGGAACATTTGAAAGTGGGTGAGTCATTCCCTGCCGGCAAAAACGGAGGAGGCTTAGCAAGTCATGAAGGTTACTTCATGAGAATTGCACGGCTTGCCTTGCCTCCGTTGCTGCCATGTCTGAGTCCCTCCCGGGAGGCAAGGAAGCACAATGCCCTTTTTGCAGATGAGGCAGTGGGCACAGGGAGGTGACGCACCTGATCCAAGATTACACCGAATTCATTACACTGTAATAACTCCCAGGTGTCTGTCGCTCACTTTTCCTATTCTTCAAATGTGAGAGACCCTCAGTGCTGTCACGGGATGAAGGTGGCTCGCAGGGGCTACTTACCCTGATACGTTGCACCTGAGGGGAGGCCTTGCCATAACTGCCAAGCACTCACAGAGTATGGAGTCTTCTAGGCAAAAGTATGTGGGGACTTGTATAAAGCCAGGAAGTTCAAGCAGAAGGTGCCGCCATATGGAAGCAAAGAGGTGGTGAGGAGGAAACTCGGGGGTGGAACAGAAGCCCTGGGACCTTGTCCCTTGTGGAAGAGCTCATCCAGAGGATGAAGAAGAAAACCCCTGAATGCAGAATAGTAAGCGACAGCAGGAGATGGGACTGTGCAGACCTGGGCTGTTGATGGAAGGGTCCCTGGCTGGAACATGGAGCAGTGCCCGAGTTCCCCCACCCCTCACAGGGTAAATGGCATGTCTGGAATGGGAAGACTGCCTGGGGCGGCAGATAGCTGGTCCAGTGAAACGCTGTTACCCCACAAGGAGAAAGCTACAGTGACCTGGCCGCAGCACCAAGCACTGCTACAACTAGGAGGGGCTGAGTGCACGCACAGGAAGGAAGGAATGGGAAGTCAGACCAAGCAGAGCTACTCCACAGAGGCAGCCATCAGGCGATACCCCAGGGAAGGGAACAATCCTGTTACTTCAGAATTTCCAAATATTTCATGGGCTTAGAGGAGGCTAATCATCCCCAAACCCAGGTGGGTGCTGAGATCCCTTTCCCAGAGGGCATAGGAACCGAACTTCAGAGGTACTGAGGTGCCTCAGTGCCATTGATTTCAAAGGGAGCTGGGGACCTAAAGAGCTTTGTGGATCTGGGCCTAGGTTCATTGATTTGAGGGAAGGGAATGGCTGGGATCCTTTGGACCCCAGACTGACTATTTTGAGGCCTGAAACCATAATTAGGTGCTAAAGCAACTGTAATGAAAAGAATATGGCTACTTGATCTGCTCCATTTGACAAATAGTGCACATGCGCTATACACTGCAGCGTATAGCACGGCTAAAATAAAGCACTGTGGCAGCTACCTGAACTGGGAAAATCAAGTTATATTAGGTTGTGGCTTCCCCATCCCAGCCTGTGTTTAAAAACAGGCTGGGGATGGTCTAAGCTTGGTCCTGCCTAGGCCCAGAGGGCTGGACTCGATGACACCTCAAGGTCCATTCCAGCCCATGTCTATGATTCTAAGTCAGTGTTTCTTAAACTGTGTTCCGAGGCAGACCAGTTTTTGCTCAATAACTTCCCCCCACCCAACCCTTTTTTTTTTCTTCTCAACAAAAAAATCCTTGGTGTTCCTCAGAAAAAAAAGTTATTGTTTGGTGTTCCTCGGTCTGAAAATGTTTAAGAAACACTGTTCTAAGGGGAATGAAAAATGGAAGATGTGTGTTATCTTACTATTTTCCAAAAGGGCAAAATATATTATACATGTTCTCCCCTGTGTGTCTGAAGTAGCTAGGGGAAAGTGTTACTTCATGCATTAAAAACATCACCTACCTCAATAGTCAAACATTTTACTAGCAATTTATTTTTAATGCAGCTAATGTAATCTTCAAAAGGCTGCTATCCACCTCCCCTAAAAATAGTGTGAAAACACTTAGATTTGGCAGATTCAGTAAGGCACTTGGTTAGAAGGTTTTTGACATATGGTGCTTCACATTGTGTTGTCCATGGTTTCCAAGGAAAGAAAGAAGGCAGCTGTAAACCATAGTCTATGAGAGATTATAAGTAAGTATGTTGTGAAAGGAATAATTTTTTCTCTTAGGAGCGAGCAGAATTAGATGATAGTCCATGAAAGAGCAGTTGTCTGGAGGGTTATTTAGGATCCTCCAAATTTCATTAGGAAAGAGACGTGAGCCTTTTCCTATGAAGATGCAGACTGCTCGGTCTTGTATTTCTCGTAGGCATCTACTATTTCTGCAACAATGATTGGATCATCCAGCGTGGTGATATCTCCCAAGTCACTGGATTGGTTAGTGACTATTTTCTTCAACACCCGTCTCATGATTTTCCCAGATCGCGTTTTAGGAAGCCGTTTTACCACCTACAGAGAAGAACAAATCCACTTGCCTTACAATTGTGCAGACTAACTCAGCTAGTCCCTGAAGAATTTGATCCTGATGAGAATATTTGAATGAACCCAGCCTTGAAACAATCCCATTGCATACCCCCGAGAGGTTCCTGGGAACCGCCTCCGAGCTGGGCTTGGAGGGCAGTGCCCAGAAAGAAGGAATACTGCAACATTTATTTGTATTCGTTTTCAACTGATTTTTCTCCTTTCTTTTTCTGGTTTTAGCCCAACTGCAGATGCTGGATTCTAAGCGCTTTGAAAATAAGGCTACTCAATCAGATGCTAAACTAAAGTTAGAAGGTGGGTTGTAGGCACCTGTGTCTGGAAACCTGGGCCTCAGCACTCTCATATATCTGAGCGTGGCTTGCAAAGCAGCAGGCATCATCTGCCCAGTTGTACGGAGCAGGAACAGTTAAGCTGCCTGCTCACAGTCACACTGTATGGAATATATCTCAGTGCCCTGATTCCCCATCACAAGTCCTATCCACAATAGTCTGCAAGCTGCCATGTACAGACACGGGTTAATGGTAACTCATAAGGTCATAGGGAAGGCCTTCGAGATGAACCTGAAGGGTTACTATTTGTACAGATCACTCCTTTACACAGAACAGAGGCACAGACAGGCCATGCCATCTGCCATATGACGAGGGCCCCGCCAAACTCACAATTCGTTTTGGTCAATTTCATGGTCATAGGATTTAAAAAATCATTCATGTCATTATTACAGCTATTGAAATCAGAAATGTCAGTGTTGCACTTAAAGGGGTCCTGACCCAAAGAGCAGTTGTGGGTGGCTACAAGGTTATTATAGGCTGGGTGCGGAGCTGCCTCCATTACTTCTGTGCTGAGGCTGGCAGTGATGCTGCCTTCACAGCTGGGAAGCTGGAGAATGTCAGCTGATGGTCGGGAGTTAGGGATGTAAAAGGTTAAATAGTTAACTGGTAAGCATTAGGCTTACCATTAACCAGACCTTAACCATTACATCCAGCAAATGGCCATCCATGCTGGCTCAGCCAGCCAGAAGGACCCCCGTTCTAGCCATGCGTGTCCGGGCACAGCAGCCCTGGCCACAATGGGTCACCCAGCCAGGTGGACCCCAGCCACAGAAGTCTGGGTCGGTGAGACCCAAGGCCTTGCTAGGCCAAGCTGGCTAGCTGGAGCAACCCAGGCAACCCACCCTGCACCGGCCTGCTGGGGGATCCCAGCCCCTATCATGCCAGGCTAGCTGGAGTGACCTTGGTTAAGCAGATAAACTATGAATTTTTAATAATTACACCACTATTGGGAGCACAGTCCAGCTCTGAACACAGCTGGCACCGTTGTATGGAGGTGCCGCCCTTACTTCTGTGCGGCTGCTGTTGGGGTGCTTCCTTCAGAGCTGGGCACCGGCTAACAGCTCCCACGCTCCCACTGCCCTGCTCTAAAGTTAGCCCAGAAGTAAAAGTGGCACTAGCATGATCCCCTCCCCCCACAAAAAAAATAATCTTGTGACCCACCCACTACTCCTCTTTCAGTCAGGGCCCCCAATTTGAGACACATTTGTCTCCCCCATGAAATCAGGTCTTTTGTGTGCTTTCACCCTCCATGCTACAGATTTCTCCGAGGGAGATCAGATTTCAAGGTCCATGACACATTTTTCAGTCCTGAATTTGGTAGGGCCCTACATATGGCTGCTGAGTTTATTTACTCTGGGACTAACTGGGGAAATTGCTTTCACTGAGGTCTAAGCTAGTCACTAAACTTGGCCAGCATCCCTTTAAATGGCCAAGGCACATTCTGCCACTGCTCTGCACTTGCTCAGCCTATGGCTGAACTAGGGACGTAAGCGACTAGTCGCGCACTCCCTGCACGGCTTCTGCTTTGGAACTGTTCAAGAGCCCATTTCAAAGGCTCAGGCACCGCAGGGAGCGTGGGGGCCAGTCGACTGTTCGATTAGTTAATTAATCTAAATTTAACATCCCTAGGTTGACCTGCTCCTTACTGATGTCCAGATTAAATAAATGCCGGGGTGAGATGAGCATCACCTGGTACAACGGTGCTTTACTTCGCTTTGGCTGTGGTATAACTGCAGCTTTGCTCTTGTATGTTCCAACCTTCCCCCTTAATGTTTGGGTTTTTTAATCAAATAAAATGGGAGTATTCTGTATATCTTTGTATTTCCGTCGGTCACTCCTCGGTCTGATTAACTGCATTGTGTGCCCGGCAGACACAGAAGCATATGAACATAGCAAGGATGCTGTATTAAGATGGAGGCAGGAAACAGACCTTTTAAGCAACTTGGCTATGTGTACATGCTTTGAACATGAGGGGCCCCACCCCCTTCCTCCCACACATGCCGAGCTCTCCTCAATGTAGTTTGGAAGCGGAAGTAAAACAGCTGGTTTGAAATCCCCTTTATGTGCTCCTGATTCGTAGGGTAGGCTCAGTACTTGGCATAAGCCAGAGGTGGCCAACCAGTTAGACACTAAAATCAAAAGAGCTGTGGATAGTAGTGCAAAGAGCCACACAACCCTCCCCCAGAGCCAGGCACCCCACTCTAACCCAATGAATCCCTCCTCCCCCAGAGCCAAGCACCCCCGCTCTAATCCAATGCCTCACCCCTCCCCCAGAGCCAGGCACCCCCGCTCTAATCCAATGCCTCACCCCTCCTCCAGAGCCAGGCACCCCCGCTCTAATCCAATGCCTCACCCCTCCTCCAGAGCCAGGCACCCCCGCTCTAATCCAATGCCTCACCCCTCCTCCAGAGCCAGGCACCCCCGCTCTAATCCAATGCCTCACCCCTCCTCCAGAGCCAGGCACCCCCGCTCTAATCCAATGCCTCACCCCTCCTCCAGAGCCAGGCACCCCCGCTCTAATCCAATGCCTCACCCCTCCTCCAGAGCCAGGCACCCCCGCTCTAATCCAATGCCTCACCCCTCCTCCAGAGCCAGGCACCCCCGCTCTAATCCAATGCCTCACCCCTCCTCCAGAGCCAGGCACCCCCGCTCTAATCCAATGCCTCACCCCTCCTCCAGAGCCAGGCACCCCCGCTCTAATCCAATGCCTCACCCCTCCTCCAGAGCCAGGCACCCCCGCTCTAATCCAATGCCTCACCCCTCCTCCAGAGCCAGGCACCCCCGCTCTAATCCAATGCCTCACCCCTCCTCCAGAGCCAGGCACCCCCGCTCTAATCCAATGCCTCACCCCTCCTCCAGAGCCAGGCACCCCCGCTCTAATCCAATGCCTCACCCCTCCTCCAGAGCCAGGCACCCCCGCTCTAATCCAATGCCTCACCCCTCCTCCAGAGCCAGGCACCCCCGCTCTAATCCAATGCCTCACCGGGTTTCACCAGAGCTGCCAGCGCTGAAATCAGACGCTTCTCCCTCCAGGCGCTGGGGCGCACGCGCAGAGCGGCCAGGAGCTGTCCGGGTGCGTGGCTCCGAACAAGCTGTAACCCTAAGAGCCTCATTCTCTTAAGCAAAGGGCCGCATGCGGCTCAAGAGCCACAGGCTGGCCACCCCTGGCATAAGCAGAACAGCCTCTGGGCCACTCTATGGACGCAACTGCCGTGGCCCCCCAGGAGACTGGTTTGCGACCCAGGATTCCAGGTGCGCTAGCATCCAGCTGTCCCTCTTTTCCTGCAGCCATGCCTTGGCACGCTCCCCCACCAATGCCAGTTCGGCACTGCGGAGGCAGTCCCGCCTGCCAGGGCGGAGCAGAGCAGGCTCACTGGGGCGGGGCAGACCCCACACTTACCAGAACGTGATCGGGCACTGCATACTTGGCAATCTTGGAAGCAACGATAGATTTGAGCTCTTCTTTAACATTTTCGGTCTGAACGGTGTCCTCCTTTAACACGATGAAAGCAAAGGCACCTGGAAGGAAAAGGATCAGAGGGCACGTCTGTGCATGAACTCATCGGTGGGGAAGGCATTCCTTCTAGTGTGTCTGTTTGCATGGCTGCTGTTTCACATGCCTGTAGTGACGGTCAGATCTGAGGTCTACCTTGCTCACTCTGACTCGTCCCAATGAAACCAGTGGCTTCTTTACAGAGTAGAGAGGAGTAAGGGTGGCAGGATCAGGTCCTTAACAATACCTGTGCCTTGTTCTGGTGTCCCTGGGCTAGATTCTAATCTCAGTGATAGTAAATCTGGAATAAATCCACTAACGTTCCCAAGTATAAATGAAATCAGAAACTGGTCCATGGAGGTAAAGGTTCTGGATCCTGTTTCAAATTATTTCCTTGTGAACAAATCTTTATTTCCATTTACCAAAAATGGAGTCAAATGCTACAGTAACACACTATCCCCCTAAAAATGATAAGGGGTTAAGAGTTTGTCTACACAGGGATAGCCAGGAAAATTCATATGAATTAACTAAAGATGTGAGTTTGAAATGGACTAGGTAAGCTGAATTAAACTCCTGTGTAAACACCCTCATTTGGAATAAAAGTGGCTTTCTTTTGGTTTAACTTAATTCACTTCCAAAATGAAGTAAGCAAAACCAAGTTAAAGCTACAGGTTTCACTTCCCTAAACTGGAACTCTGCTCTGACAACCTCCTGGACCGGTAGGGCCAGCAGCTGGGAGCCTGGTGGTAGCAGGGCTGGGCCATCCTGGCAGTCTGCTGCCTAGCAGTGGAGCTGGTGTAACAGTGACCCAGGCGGCCACGAGGCTGGTGCAGCGCAGTAAGTCACAGCATTGCAGCAAAGGCAGCCTGGCTGGGGCCACAACAGCCCGGCAGAGGCTGCCCGCTGCCCGGCAGTGGGGTGGGGGCTGCCTGTGTGGTGCAGGACCAGGGTCGCAAGAGTTGGCAGAGGCAGCCTGGCTGGATGCAGCAACCCCGCTGGGGCAGTTCTGCAGCCCAGCAAGGGCAGCATGCTGCCTTTCAGCGAGGCCAGGGCCACGGCAACTGGCGGAGGCAGCGTGCTGGGCTGGGGCTGGGGGCCACATGGCAGCAGGGCTGGGGCCACGGCAGCTGGTGGAGGCAGCGTGCAGGGCTGGGGCTGGGGGCCACATGGCAGCAGGGCTGGGGCCACGGCAGCTGGTGGAGGCAGCGTGCAGGGCTGGGGCTGGGGGCCACATGGCAGCAGGGCTGGGGCCACGGCAGCTGGTGGAGGCAGCGTGCAGGGCTGGGGCTGGGGGCCACATGGCAGCAGGGCTGGGGCCACGGCAGCTGGTGGAGGCAGCGTGCAGGGCTGGGGCTGGGGGCCACATGGCAGCAGGGCTGGGGCCACGGCAGCTGGTGGAGGCAGCGTGCAGGGCTGGGGCTGGGGGCCACATGGCAGCAGGGCTGGGGCCACGGCAGCTGGTGGAGGCAGCGTGCAGGGCTGGGGCTGGGGGCCACATGGCAGCAGGGCTGGGGCCACGGCAGCTGGTGGAGGCAGCGTGCAGGGCTGGGGCTGGGGGCCACATGGCAGCAGGGCTGGGGCCACGGCAGCTGGTGGAGGCAGCGTGCAGGGCTGGGGCTGGGGGCCACATGGCAGCAGGGCTGGGGCCACGGCAGCTGGTGGAGGCAGCGTGCAGGGCTGGGGCTGGGGGCCACATGGCAGCAGGGCTGGGGCCACGGCAGCTGGTGGAGGCAGCGTGCAGGGCTGGGGCTGGGGGCCACATGGCAGCAGGGCTGGGGCCACGGCAGCTGGTGGAGGCAGCGTGCAGGGCTGGGGCTGGGGGCCACATGGCAGCAGGGCTGGGGCCACGGCAGCTGGTGGAGGCAGCGTGCAGGGCTGGGGCTGGGGGCCACATGGCAGCAGGGCTGGGGCCACGGCAGCTGGTGGAGGCAGCGTGCAGGGCTGGGGCTGGGGGCCACATGGCAGCAGGGCTGGGGCCACGGCAGCTGGTGGAGGCAGCGTGCAGGGCTGGGGCTGGGGGCCACATGGCAGCAGGGCTGGGGCCACGGCAGCTGGTGGAGGCAGCGTGCAGGGCTGGGGCTGGGGGCCACATGGCAGCAGGGCTGGGGCCACGGCAGCTGGTGGAGGCAGCGTGCAGGGCTGGGGCTGGGGGCCACATGGCAGCAGGGCTGGGGCCACGGCAGCTGGTGGAGGCAGCGTGCAGGGCTGGGGCTGGGGGCCACATGGCAGCAGGGCTGGGGCCACGGCAGCTGGTGGAGGCAGCGTGCAGGGCTGGGGCTGGGGGCCACATGGCAGCAGGGCTGGGGCCACGGCAGCTGGTGGAGGCAGCGTGCAGGGCTGGGGCTGGGGGCCACATGGCAGCAGGGCTGGGGCCACGGCAGCTGGTGGAGGCAGCGTGCAGGGCTGGGGCTGGGGGCCACATGGCAGCAGGGCTGGGGCCACGGCAGCTGGTGGAGGCAGCGTGCAGGGCTGGGGCTGGGGGCCACATGGCAGCGAGGCCAGGGCCACGGCAACTGGCGGAGGCAGCGTGCTGGGCTGGGGCTGGGGGCCACATGGCAGCGGGGCCAGGGCCACGGCAGCTGGTGGAGGCAGCGTGCTGGGCTGGGGCTGGGGGCCACATGGCAGCGGGGCCAGGGCCACGGCAGCTGGTGGAGGCAGCGTGCTGGGCTGGTGCTGGGGGGCACCTGGCAGCGGGGCTGGGGCCACGGCAGCTGGTGGAGGC